AATGAAACTATCGAAGTGACTACATGAAGAGTCAGAGCAATTTTCATCTATGACTATGGTATTGATAATATCATTACATCCGCGTTCTCTAATAAAAATCATTTACAAAACTCCACGTTTTAATCTATTACATCTACAATTTTACCGCGAAAATATTAATATAATTTTCAATTGGCAACATAAACGAACTTACTCGTGTCGTTACCTTAACTATCTTTCCTACCATCACCTTTCTACTAAAATAGAATCAATCATCAATTTAATAGATCATGCTTCGTTATTGTCACATAATATATTTTTGAAGAACAATCTCTCACTAATAGCACAAATCTTAAGAAATTCCTACCCAAAATATCTGATCCGATGATATACCTCCAAAACCGCCACAAAATTTCAATCTAAAAACCAAACTGTGAAAACTAGATCGGAATTATAACTAGCTAGCATAGAAGCGCAGAGACAAAATGCATTGGAAAAATTGAAACAAAGAAGAATTTTAACATTTTTTTTGTGTGTTTGAATTAATATCTGAAAAAAAAATGTTAAAAAATAACATTTTTTGCTGAGTAAAATACCAAAAACCATGATTTTTTTGCAATATTTGTATGGAAGACTTCTGAGAGGAGGTCCCAGGGGGTGAACCATAGGCATGGTGGATTGGCCTTCTAAAGTTAGTGGGTGTCGGCTATACATTTGGGCACGATTGGAGCATTCTGAATGGGTCAAAACACAACTTTTCAAAACTCAATCCCTATCTTTGGATCAATGCACGGGATATAAGAATTCATTTTAGAGGTATGGTTTCTTCAGCAAAGTATCTTATTTTGATCCCTAGTATCCAAAAATTATATGTGCCTAAGTGACTTTTAAATCGACCCGCCTTAATGTACAAGTTAAACTCAGATTACGTTAAGCTTGCATTTATAAAAAATTGATATTATTTTTTCGCCGCCTATCTTTTTATTCTTTTTTGACTCTTTTTTACCTTTTAATTAACTTCCCGAAGGAGAAGTTTGTTTTCATCAAAAAATCCGATTTGCTAATTTTATGTTTTCTCGACGTTTCAAGCCATTTTGAATCGAATGAGACCAAATTTCGAAAAAGTATGTATGTATGTGTGCGTGTGTGTATGTGTATGTGAACAGATTTTTGCCGTAAACGACGATTTCTCAAAATGGCTATAGACCGATTTCAAAATTTAAAAGCCATTTGATGTATCTCGACGAGGACTAGCGTTTATCAATTTTACGCGATGATCAGCCAAGCCGTTTCTTTGTAAATCGCACAAAAGTGAAAATTTTTTCGTCCACGTTTTAGCCCGCAATTCTGAATCGATTTTGAAAATTCAAAAACTGTTTGAAAGATATTGGTTGGGAATCGTACTGATTAGTTTGTGGTAAAGATCGGCCGGGCCGTTTTCTTGTAATAAAGTGTTAAAAAAAATTTTTCGACGATTTTCATGATTTTTCTTTGACGGTAGTTACCATCAGTCTTTCTCAAAGTAGGCGATATCGCCCCCTGGTGGGCGATATTGATCTCCAGGGGGGCGATGAAAGGCCTCGCGAAAAATGTTGATTGTTGGCGTTGGGTTAGGGGGCATTTGTAATTTTATTTACTTTACATTTTAAAGTTCACCAGAATTTGTATCCCAACGATTAATTGGTACTTTATAAGTTTGGTCGTGTTTCCATGGTGTTTAAATGATTTTGATACCATTTTATAGTTTTTTTACCAAAAATTGGCTATCAAAAGGAAATTGTCTGACCCGTTTTTACAATCTGTTTGACTCTGTTGTAGAGTTTTTAGAAAATAAGGACACACAGCTGTGTGAAAACCTGATATCATCAAAAAATTATATAGCAAATCTCACAGACTTTCAGAGTTTGTATAAAAAATTTGGTGGGGGGGCGATACAAAAATTTTGATCTTCAAAGGGGGCGATGTAGGAAATAAGTTTGAGAAACGCTGTTCTAGATCATACAAAAATATTACGGCCCTACGACAAGCCGTTTAATTTTAAAAATTCGTCAAAGTTTACAAAAATTAGTATCGTTTTTTTGGCGTTTGTCAAAATTCAACCTTTCATCGACGTTTGCTGAGAAACGACTGAACCGATTTCAGAAATTTAAAAGCCATTTGATGTATCTCGACGAGGACTATCGTTTCTCAGTTTTGTACGACGATCAGCCGTTTCTATGTAATTTGGAAAAAAAGTGTCCACATTTAAGCTCATACTACCGAATCGATTTTAAAAAATTAAAAACATAAATCGAGAGATATTAGTTTTGAATGATACTGATTAGTTTTAGGTGAAAATCTACCGAGCCGTTTTCTTGTAATTAAACTGTTGAAAAAAAATTTAAACCGATTTTCATGGAACTTTTTTTGGCAATATATATCATGGTCTTATAGAACTTACTGCAAATTTATGGCCTTACGACAAGTAGTTTAATTTTAAAAATTCATCAAAGTTTGAGAAAATGAGTAGTTTTTTTTGACGTTGATTAAAATTAAAATTACACAATTTACTTGGTATAACAATAGAGTACTTGGTAATACTAATCTATTAAACTTCTACGGAAACTGGTTCAGTTATAAAAATTGTTGATTTTTGAAAATTTGCTTTTAGAAAATACTCGGAGTTAACGTGTTCGTTCGTTTTCAAATATGTGTAATAAATCCACTCGGAATACTTTTAATCACTCATAATTTACTTTATTTTTTATTGATTAAGTCAATTATTTACACATATCGGAAAGTTCATGTAACTTGCCTCTAGGCAAAATACCAATACCGACTAGTTTCAACATTAGTTGTTATTTTTCCAAGGAATATATTGGGTGGGAAATATTCGAAGGGATAGTTCGGCCAGCTTTTGGTAAAAGTGCAAAACTTTCGGCCGCTGTAACATCCTAATTTTTATTGTTACTACACAGATATGTTCACACTAAAACTCAATATTTATTATTTAAAGCATATCTTAACATATATTGATGTATTGTAATAGATATAAATATAATGAAGTAATTTTAATATAAAAACATTAGCTACATTTAAGCAAATATAAATCTATATCACTCAAACAACACGCAGAGGTCTGCAATTTTTTCGCCCCGAACAAGTTAGCATTGGTGGCTCCTGACAAGCGCATTCATCACAGGTTTCAGGATCAAAAGGTATTGAATCTCCAATGTTCAGGATTAGTGAACCAAATTTGCACGTCTGGTTAGATGGTGTTGGATTTTCGCTCGGAATTACTACATCGGTATCCTTAGCTGTTTGAAAATCATCTACTTAGTTTGCAAAATTCAATTCATTCAGTGATAACCACTTAAATATAACATTTCTTTATATTTAAAATAATCTATCTAATAATACAAGGTGTATATAGAGAACTCAACGTAAAGCCGAAACGGGGTGTGATATTGATCGTCATGAAAAAATTATTCTATGTAGTTTGAAGATTTCAAGCGTAACCTACAGCTTTGGTGAAGCTGTGACGATTATTGTTGTTAATTTTTATTAATTTTGTTCATTTAAACTTTGGATCCGTAACCGTAAATAATATTTCTGGGTCTCGCAGTCAAAAATAACGACATAATTGCTTCAAGATTTTTAGGGTTAAAAATATTTGTTAAACTATGAATTTAGAATTTTTTTAATTGCTTTAGTTTGAGTAGCCGTCTATTAAAAAATGTACCAAAGTTGTTGGCAAGTTCCGTGAAATTGTAGAAACTTGATAGTTACAGGGCTACCTTTTTAAAATCGCTTAGATAAACATAAATTTTAACCTTATAGGACAATAGTTTGCTCACAAAAGTAAACCTTTCGTCTCGTCTCGCAGATACTTGTGCGGGTTGAAATGGTCTGACAATTTTATTTTTGAACTACTCAATGAATAAATTGAATCGTATAAAAATTTTAAGCTTACAAGAACATGTTTAATTGCCGAGTTGTTTTTACTCTTTCAAACGCCTGGACGACCATAAAGTGCAGAGCTGAAACCTGCCAGACCATCGTTTTCGTACTTAGCACGCTAACAAGGTAAACATCAGGTTTACTCTTCTGGGATTTTGATGAAACTTCTTACATGAATACCATTATTCAAAAGGGTTCACCAGCTGTTGGTCAGCTGTATGATATTGAATCGCGAATACAACATAATTTTTAAAATGGCCCTATTTTTATACTTACGGCATCTCATAAATAATCTGCCACAGCATAAGCCTTCATCATACGATGGTACACAGCCTCTAGCAAATTGTGTCCAGTGGAACAAGTCAAAACCACAAGATAGTGGTTTGCATACTGGTTTTCCCTATGAAAAAAGATTTATTCATTATTATTGTTATGCATATGAAATGATTTATGCAAATGAAATGACTGCTTTAATTGACAAGGTAATAAGTTCTCAGTGTTTTCCATAGGTAAAGCCCGTAGGGAAGCGGTTAAGAGGGACAGGACTTGATTCAGAGGTCCCGGGTTGGATACTTCGAGCAGCCTGTTGTCAGGCAGGTGTGACAACGATTTTCACTTGGAACTATAGATAGCAATACGTTTCCAAGTGAAAATAGTCCTTGCTCGGCATTGCTGCACCAACAAAAAAGTCAGCCCTATTAGATAAATTAGATATACTAATAATAAAATCATCAAATATGGATGAATTAACCATTGGGTTACCATCTAAAATACAAAGTATTTTTAAAGGGGGCTGTTTTAGCCTAACAGCTTATATGACGTAAAGTTATGATTGCTATTGAGATATGAGAACAAGAAAATTTGCAGGGTATGCAAATTAAATGGGCATTATAATTACGTAATTTATTTAAAACGCAGGAGAATCTTCGTTCAAATCAAGCAACTTCAGAAACATTACTATGTACATTCGATTATATATATTATTAATACTACGATAAGTGTTTTAAATCATGCATTCTATCTGGTAACAAACATTTTTGTACTAATATTACTTAATTTTGTTGCAAATTCTCTGGTCTATCTGTACAAAAATACAATATTTCTCAGACACATAATTTCCTAATAGCTTAGGAAAACATATTGCACAACCACAAGCATACTGCTACCGTAGCCATCATCAGGATACAAACAAAACGCAAAGAGCGACTGTTCTGTATGTGCTAATACTGGTAATACGAAATGTAATATGTATTAAGAATACTTTATTTTATAAAGAAGCCATTATTTATCTATGCCTTTTTGACCACATAAGGGGCATTTGAAAGAAAATGAGAATACTAACATAAGTATAATCATAGCTGGGCATTAACTCGTTAATCCGTTAATCGTTAATTAACGAAGTTAACATTTTGATTAACGGATTAACTTTTAAGTTAACTTTTAAAAATGTTAACGGACACGTTAACTTCCGTTAAAATGCGAGAAGTCCGTTAATCGTTAATCCAATGCCTACTATTTACCGCACGGCACAGCTTTAGCCAATGCCTTATTAAACGGCATAGAGAAAAGATTTGGACTACTCCTGAATGATGAACAGTGCCAACTTGCCGCGGCATTTCACCCAAAATTTCGGTTAATGTGGCTGGAAACGTATGACAGCAGTAGAGAGGAATGCAGGAACTATAAACTATTGGACAAAAAATTATTTTTTTTTTTTTAGAAAAATGTTTTCTTTATTTTGACCTATTTTGGAAGATCTGAACTTTTTTTCAAAGCAATTTTACTGCTTTAGGACTGCATAGAGACAAAATATAAAGCGCGTAAGCGCCGCGTCGCTGTCTAAAGGATAAACATTGGTACGGAACCCATAGGAATGTAAATAAAATTTATACTTATTGTTAAAATCTCTATAAAATATCTGATAATTTGATGTGCATATGTCTAATGATCATTTTGACCGCCAAATGGCATTTTTTTTTACTTTTTTCATTAGATCTCCGAAACCGCTAGACCTGCCTTCATGAAAAATTGATCAGTTTTTCATAATTGTCAATACAAGTAAAATGTTTTTTGAATTATTAAAATCGGACGCTCCGTTCTCTTAAAAACTGAGTTACCGTTTTTGGCTCAATTTTGCCCCATATCTTCGGAACGGCTAGAACTGCCTTTGCCAAAAACTAATCAGCACGTCTTCTTATCAATACGAATCGAATGTTTTTTTAATTGTTCAAATCGGTTGATCCGTGTTCCCGAAATCGTCGACGAAAATTTGTATCCGAATACACATACATACACACACACACATACATCCATTTTTTCTAAGGTATGCCAAAATATTCAGAAACCTTTGAAACGTCGAGAAATGCAAAAATTTTCATTTTCGATTTTTTTGCGATTACTATAACTTGCCCTACGGGAAGTTAAAAAAACTCTTTCCATTTATTTAGAAAAAAATTCTTGTAAAAACAATATGCAATCATAAAAACGGAAAGTTGACCAATAGCGTTATCACGGTATGTGATAATTGTGCCATTTTCCTTATACACACGGAAGTGTGCATAAAACGCGCGAGGGGTTAAATTACACATTTGAATTATACAAGTATTTTGTTTTATTCATAACCTGTTAACTTCCAGAACCTAAACTAATAAGTTTTTTAAGTTCACTAACGCAACGATATAAAAATGTAATTTTACACATATTAACGGATTAACGATTAACGTTAACTTGCGTTAATTCTTCCGAAATGTAACGCTTTAACGTTTAACGAAGTTAACTTTTTTTGTAGCGGATTAACGATTAACGAAGTTAACTATTTGATTAACGGTGCCCAGCTATGAGTATAATTAAAAGGTGCCACACTTCTGGAATATAGTAGTAAATGAGCTTCTCAAACAGTTCGTCGAAAGCGGAATGAATCCGATATAACGTCGATCTTCATTGGGTTTCCTTCTAATAAGAATAGGTTAAGGCATTACAACACAGCAGCTCAAAGAACACATATGTTGAGAATTCTGGTTAATGATCATAACATACGTAAGTTTCACCTATTGGTTAGAAACCCAATAGAAAATCGCCCTACGACGGAAGCAGTTAGCAGTAGAAATGTAGTAAATTAGTACGGAGTAAAGAATTAGATTAGTACTGAATACAGAGTGTTATCATTGTTGAATATAGTTCCCGATCAAACAGTCTCTAGTCTAGTACCACTAAAAATGATGGGTTGGGTCATCCGGGGTGTTAAATAGTAGCAAATAATAAGTATACATATGAGATATTGGCCTAAGAAGGTCAGTTAAAGGCCAACAATGTGAGAGCAAGTTAGTATAATAATGAGTACTGGGTAAAAAATGCGGAAAAAATGCTGAGCAACTTTTGTCGTTGAGACAATTGACCGATTACAAAAACATGATTCGAAACGCGGCGAATGCTAAGTTATATGTGCCCATAATTATGAAAGTGGTCTAAGTCATATATTTCTTGTTTCATATAATGAATTGCATTTGAATAAATTAAAAAATATTTTTACATTATGCGACATTTTAATTTTTAATTTTATTAGTCTTAATTAATAGAAATTTATTATGAATATGAAATTTTGTGTGAATTTCATACGATAATATTGTTTTTAAAGTTTGAATTGACTTAGACCATTTTCAAAATTAACTGAATGTCCTATAAATGGCTTAAAGCAATAAAGAACTTTGAGTTTTATTTGAAACAATAATTTTATTGAAATAATTCGCGAGCATTTATTAATTATTTTTAAACGGTAATCCATTTTTATCATTATTTCGAGTATTTAAGATTCTTAAAATGTTCCTGAAAAACTGGAGGGATGTACGGTGTAGTAAAGTCATAATATCTTTATGTTTTTCTTCCGATACTGGTCTAATGCTGGTGTATAATGGAAGTAATTTAATATTTCCGTATATTTTTGGTCTTCCTCTTTTAGGTGAAAGATCTTTAATTATGATTTTATTTCATTTTTGAAAATGTTTTTAATATATATGAAAATATATTTTTTATGAGTATGTTTTGTTATCATTTCACATATTAAAATTTCAGATTTATAGTAACAATATTATATATACATTTATCTTAGAATTAAACCTAAGGATTTGGATTTATCTAGAATTGAACCTAGGGGTAAATTTTCATGCTACACTCGTCGCGCCTCCGTTGCAGGAGCGGAAAATTAAAATTAAAATAATCGAAAAGCGGTCCAGTTTGCTATCTATTTATACTTGTTTATCTATGTTCAGAAACGCGTCAAAAAAGGCCACGTGCCATTTTCAAAATGTTCATATAATTTCTAAATTTTTGACTTAGACCACTTTCATAATTAACACTAAATGAATTCCATATAATGTTGAAATTACAACCACTATCTAATGGTTCATTTTTGACAATTTCGTAAAAATTACTTTGAATACATTTAGTTTAAACTAATGTGGTATGAAATAACTGATAAACTCATTTTTTTTTTAATTTTGACTTAGACCACTTTCATAATTGTGGGCACATATATGAGGCAAAAAATGGAATGATTGGAATACTGCAGATTAAAAATAAAAACTATGTGCAGGATGTCGAAAATTGTAATAATAATCTGTTGCCTATTAGATAAATAAAGTTAAAAAAAACGTTACAACTATAGCAAAAATGGAACAGACATGCAACCTAGAAAATCCGAAGAATAACGAGACTGAATTTTGTGCAATAAAAAAAAATTAAATATATTTAAATATTGAAAAAAATATAATAATAAACCATTACAAAAATAGGTTTACCTTTCTGCAAACACATCGATCGCATTTACTTTCACTGTATCCGTACATTATCTGGCCGTCATTATAAATTCTACCGTCATTATCACAGTTTTCTTGTGTCTCTGGATTTGATTTTTCATCCTCTACGAAAAAATATTATTTAATAAAGATTTTAAAATTTGGAATGTATTAAGCAAGGTACTAACCTGTTGCAGTTGGTAGTTGACATTCGAAGTGAGCTAATTCCAATCTAAACATATAAATTCAATAAAATGAATAAATAACATAATTATTTAAAATATGCAGTGTAAATAGATTTATATTTATTTACTCCAAATTTAGAATTAATATAAAAATTAGCAATAAATGGGCATAATCATATAAGTGTTTGAATGTTAATGAATTCCATCAGCTAAACTCATATTATTATTGATCATCAATAAATAAATGAATACATAACTAAAGAAATATTTTTATATTTTTCTCAAACTATTATTTACGGAGCATAAATGGAAATTGGACAAAATTTTAAAAAACTCATTATTTTGATAGCTAATAAACAAAATAATGGATACAAATTAATGGCATTTGCTTCTAAAGTGGAAATATTTATCTGAATTTTTATCGCGAAATAATGTGTAATGTATAAATAGGTATAATTTTAACATCATTATTCTCATGCATGGAATATTTGACAAAATTTACAATTAATTACTTTTCAATTATGACCACAGAAAAGCGCCAAATTTTAAATTTGGGAATAATTAGTATAAATTGATTAGCAAATATTAGGTTCGCACCAATAATAAATAATAATTCTCCTAAACACGATAATTAACAAAATAAACATATGGCAATGATATCTTTCTCGAGAATTGTATAAATAACCATTACTAACATAGATTCTCCGGTTTTCTCCAAGCACGTGCATTTATCATAGACAGTAAGGCTGCCAAGGCCGACGTAGTGATTTGTAAGGTTGTCATATGGGTAGTCGATAACTGATCCCGGAGCGAAGGCCACGCCATCGTTGTAACACAATTCGGATGAGCGCTGCTCCACGCTGCTGCAATCCCAACGTGACACCGTGCCGAGGTCGCTTTCTTCGGTCACTCGCACGCATCCGCGCTGAACATAGTGCGGAGGACCTTCTGCCAGATCAGTTCCAAGATAAATCAATCAAATTAATCAAGATATATGATATTTCAATTAAATCAAATTTAATTAGCAACTCATTGCAAATGAAATTTAACTATTCTATAGAAGCGTAGACAAAATTCTATTCTTTGGAGCTTTCAGAAGCGTCCAATACACATATGGTTATTAAGAATTGAAAATATATGTCTATGTAAAATCTAACTAGTGGTACACGGTATCATGCCTTAAGGGGGTCTTCCTATGTGATGGGTTGAAAAAATCGTTTTTTTTCATAAATTGCTCCCTTAACATGCCTAGAATACGATAGTAAAGCGATTTTAGAAAATTCGAAGTCGTTTTAAAGATATAGCAGGTAAAAGAAAGAGCGGTTCGGAGCGCTGAGTTGGCAGTCAGAGCCCGGGCCTATTGTGTACCGTCGGCTTTATACCCGGCCTCCCTTTTATTCATATATCCGTTTATACAAAGTTTGTTTAGGAGCAGAGACACAAAACAATAACGAATCTTTGAATTCTTTGATTTGGACTTTCGCTCCTAAACATCTTCATTCTGGTCCCAAAATTGTTGAAATTGCTAGCTACTTAGCAGTTATTATCTTTAATGAAGGTTTTCAAGGTTTTCGATTATGGGATGCCCTGTTGGTCGTGAAGCCTGAGCGTATGCTGAGAAACGGGATGGAAAGCGGATCTTACGTTCTGAGCGGCCCGTAAGTGATGTCGTTAAACAAGCCAGGATTGACTCAAGAGCTGAACAATCTGCTTCAAAAGAGTTTCACGAGGAAGAGGAAGGAATACTCTATGGACAAGGCATCGCCGATTGAGAGTAAGTTGATATTTTAATAGTTTTTAACGGTCTTGAAACTTTAAACGCGTTTTTCTCAAAAGCGTGTTTTTCAAATTTTCCTCCATTGTATCTCAGAAACGGCTGGACCGAATTACTTGAAATTTACAGGGCACACTCAATATATTTAAACGCATGGAATGAACTATTATCAAAATTTAAAAAACTTCGATTTTTTTATAGCAAAAAACAAAAAAAAAAACGCCTAATTTGCAACATTTATTTCAAATGTCTATCAAAAATCCAATTTTTTTTATATTCATTTGATTATAGGTCATTCCGTGCTTTTAAGCCTACAAATTAAAACGCCGTGTATTTTTTTTTTTTCAGATAAGCCGATCAGCCGGAATCGTGGTGGAAGTGGGAGCTCTTTTTTTCGAGGCGGGGGTGTTCAGAGCGCTGTAACTCTAGTTTGACTGAATATTTTTAGCTGAAATTTTATATTTATACTGTCCAAATATGTGTTAATAAATGATAAAAAACTTGAAGCTCTAAATATTTACTGGTCGTAGAAAAAAAATCCTAAAATATTCCTAAAAAACAGGCCGTCACATAGGAAGACCCCCTTAACGCAAATTGCTGGAACTTTACATACCGTAATGAAATAGTCGAAAAATTACAAATGTTTTCAAATAGGTCATTATAAATGCTATGACTTTCATTATTCGTATTTTACAGACAAAATATAAAAGTTTATGAATTGGATGACGACGTTTATACATGTTTACATAAAAAGTGAAAAAATAAAACAAGCAGAGTTATAATTAAGGACCTTATTTCTTTTTTCTAACAATAATATACCTGTGAAATAAGAATTATATATCCTGAATTGCAAAGTTAAAATTATTTATTTCGAGTACATAAGTAAGTTTTAGAATTTCAGCTAGAATTATAATTAAAATCCGATATTTGAAATAAAATATTTTTGATTTTTTTTTTAATTTTGAAATTAAATTTTTTACTTCTATAACTTACCCTTAGGAAAGTTAAAAATAACTAGCACAGTATAATGAATACAAAAGAATAATAATTATAGAGAATGAACAATATTCAAATAAAACTTCCACAAGATTAGAATTACCTACTTACTATTCATTAACAAACAATGGAAATAGTAGAAAAAAAATGAAAACAAGAAACACGGAATAAATATACATTAGGCTAATCGTTAAAAATTTACAATAAAAAGCAGATCATAGTAACTGCGCTTACATTTCTAAATAAAAAAGAACAAAGAGGCATACATAAAATACACCGGCTATAACATGCAGAATAAACAAATAGAAACTAAGAAACAAGAATGTGAAGAAAATACATATGAAAAAAAATTGATTCTCAGATTGAAGAACATATTTTTAAAAAATCAACATGCACGAAAATAAACCAAATCCGTATAAAAATCACTAAACTTTTACTTGCTGTAATATTATGAAAAATTATCGGATTGGGATTTCCCGAGGCTTAGTGCTCATTTAACGTGGTTAATGCTTCGGCTGATTCGGCTTTCCAACTATGGCTTCGGCTTTCCAATCAGAAAGATACAGATTCGATATCTTGAATGACGAGAACCAATCAATATAATAAAAAGTTGAAGTGATCAGGTGCTGGAGATTTCAACAGTGCGACATGTCGCATGGGATTGTATATGCGCAAGTATTATTATATTTAAAAGAACTTGAGATCTATAATTGGTAATTATCATTCGTTGGTACACAAAATATCATAGGAATTTTAACAAACGCTTTAGAGAGAAAAGTAACCTACAAGAAATTGGATTCAGGCTATACTTGTCATTATATGAATTTAAAAGCAACGACGATTATATCCACATTTTTAATCAAGAAATAGAATGCAAAATATAAATTAGGATAAATATTCCGTAAAGATCGATCATTCTTAACAAACCATAAAACTATCAACAGGTTATATTATAAATATATGTCACAAATAACCGGAGATTAGGGAAACAAGAATTATAATGAGAAGATGAAAATCTTTTTCATAAACCTTTCTCTAAAATTAACTGTATGATTCAATACTTAACCCTCTATGGACCGTATTTTTGTTCTACATAAAAAAATAGCGAACAAAAAATAAGTAATTGCAAGCCTTTATATGACAACTGACAAATATGACAAATGACAACCAAACAAATCTGTTTAAACACATTTTTTGTATTGATAAAATGTGAGTTTCAAGTCACACTGTTGACAAAGAATGTTCGCACTTCCTTGTATGAAAATGTTGTTTCAGGTGAAAAAGCCTAGCAAAAGTTATAAATATTAATATTACTTGTCTTGACAATGTTGAATGAAGATTTATTTTTCATCTCATAAAAAAGGCTATAATTATTTGGTGAAATTTAAAAAAAAAAATTAAATGTGATCTGAAAGTTACGCGACACGTAGAGGATTATGTAAATTTGATAATTTGTAATTGTAAGAAACATATATTAAAAAAAACATTCACCCGTTACAATTATATCTATAGAGCAATATGTATCCAACACAACTTAAGTTTATATAGTAAGGTGGAAGTAACCTACGTTACTTACACAAATAATCACCTTCAATTACAGTCCTATATTTAATTTATACCAATATATTTACTAAATGTCGGTATGGAATAATAGTTGTAAATCTTTCACGTATAATAAAAAAAAATTTAAAAAAACATAACTAAAGAAAATTTTTATATTTTTCTCAAACTATTATTTAGGAAACATGAATGAAAATTGGACAACGCTAAAGAAATTTCATTATTTCGATAGCTTATAAATAACATAACGGATACAAATATAATGGCATTTGCTAATGGCATAGAAAATGGAATAAAACATGAAGAGAATTGTCTGTAATATACGTACAAATATGCCATTTAATGATATTTTTTAACCTTTTGCTTGCCATAAAACTATAATTAAGAAAAAAGTCCATACATACATGGTGAAGTTCTATTCAATTAGTTTAAATATTAAAATATTCCACTTGTATTGCTATTTATTTTTTCCAAAAAAATTTATTGTATTTTCAAAAAATTTTAAAAACGAGATACAGTAGAACCTCGATTATCCGGACCCGCGCGGCATTATCGCTTTTTGTAGTTCGTTTGCAATTTTACTAGTGTGTTCTGACGTGCATATATACATTTTTAAAGGGTGGTGTTATCCCTTAAAGATAAAACAAATATTATAGAATCATTAAAAAAGGCGAAACCGTCCGTAAATTAGCTGATAGGTATGGTGTAAGTACATCCACTATAAGCGATATCAAGAAGAATACCGATTCAATTTTGTCTTTTCGTACACTTGCAAGTTAGATGGTGAAGAGGGGAGTGAAAATCGGAAAATGATGAAGAGACCGAAAAATTAAGTCTTAGAAGAAGCTCTATATTGTTGGTTTTTACAAAAACGATCAACAAATTATTCGTAAGCAACTTTTCTTCTTCATTTTACCTCATGATTAATATAATATGTATAATGTAATGTAATTGTAAGAAATATGTAAGTGTTAATTTTCTAATAAACATCGATTTTTGTTGATATCTATGTATCTATTTGTTATTTTTGATAAACAAAACATTATTCTTCATAATTTGGATTATCCGGATTTTGGATTTTCCGGATGCCCATCGACAACAATTAGTCCGCGGATAATCGAGGTTCTACTGTACTTCAAATTATTCGAAACTTTCAAATTATTCGAAACAAAAAAATTTCAATATTTTTAATTGGCCGAAATTAAAAAAAATGTTTTAAAAGATTAAATTTTTTTTATTTTATTTTTATCATTTTCACATAGGAACGGATTTCAACTCTGAATTTGTTTATTAATATTATTGAAATGATTACTGTTATAAGGAGTAAATTTTCTTCAATTTTCTTAAGACACAATATCAAACGCCACTATTATATACTATAGTTATAATATTTGAATGGTTATGTTCGCAATGTTATCAATAGCTGTTGTCCTTGGCTTTACAATGTGAACGAAACCTGACCCCAATGTTTCACGACACTGACACAAATGATCTCTTTCAATATTTACATATTACGCAAAAATATAAACAACTTTTTTCAATCGCTTTCGCCCGCCTCTTGCACATAAATACATAATACATAATACTCAATTGCGAAGCGGTTCAGTCGGCCATGCTTCGACCATTATCATCTTTATTGTTATGAAAACAATAGATTTGGAATAAATGCGATAACGTTTTTTAATAAAATATGATATTAACGAAAATTATTATCTTGTTATATCACCTCTAAAAATAACCATATTGTAGTAAAAAAAATACGAAAATAAAGCTTTTACCAATTTTCTATGTTTAGTTGCATACTTTATTTTTTCGATAATATTTGCATACGCTAATACAACTTACAAACCTGTTTGGAATGACATCATTTTCTTATCCTAACAAAGCGCTTAAATGTATTAATAACTTTTCTCCCAAAATCACGTTTGACTTAAATAGCGTCGTTATCAGTTCAGCACGTCATTTGGAGAGATTCATAAATATAAAAATGATATGCTAACGGGTGATTATTTTAATTTAGTACAAAATGAAAAATGAATAATTCGTAACTAACCGCATAATTTAAATACGCATAGTCTACGTAGTAAGGTTTAAAATATTAATTATGCTCACCTGCAAGCAGTGAAGAGTAAAAGACCGATGACAGAATAATGAACAGTTTCATTTTAACGACACTTATTTGAAATGACTTGTTGCGAGTTTCGATGCTGTTTTCGCAATGAGTCAGGAAACTAACGCGCGACAACAATTCACACGGCCGAATATGCAAATCGATGACTGTTTCTTAAAAAAAAATACGGGTATAATGTTCACAATGTCCACATTAACAACGGTTTTAAATAAATATGCGGGTAAAACTAATATTCACATTTGGAAGATGGTGACAAACAAAACAGTCAGAAACAGGGTTGGTAAAATCAATAACATTACACTAATACGATTGAATTCACCAATGATATCCAACTAAAACAATTGAATACAAAGTCACATATAATGAATGTTTCTTTGATAAATCTTGCACAAGACATATTTACAGCTTAACTTTGTTTTTATAGCCCATAAAAACAATTGTATAAGACACTTATTTTTTTATTAACTTCCCGTAGGGCAAGTTATAGTAATCGCAAAAAAATCGAAAATGAAAATTTTTATATATCTTTACGTTTCAAAGGTTTCTGAACATTTTGGCATACCTTAGAAAAAATGGATGTATGTGTGTGTGTGTGTGTGTATGTATGTACGTGTGTGTATGTATGTGCGGATACAAATTTTCGTCGACGATTTCGGGAACACGGATCAACCGATTTGAATAATTCAAAAAACATTCAATTTGTATTGATAAGGAGACGTACTGATTAGTTTTTGGCGAAGGCAGGTCTAGCCGTTCCAAAGATACGGGGCAAAAAGTGCCGAAAACGGTAACTAAGTTTTTAAGAGAACGGAGTGTTCGATTTGAATAATTCAAAAAACATTTTACTTGTATTGACAAGATGAAGAATTAATCAAATTTTCATGAAGACAGGTCTAACGGTTTCGGAGATCTAATAAAAAAAGTAAAAAAAAATGCCATTTGGCGGTCAAAAATGATCATTAGACATATGCACATCAAATTATCAGATATTTTATAGAGATTTTAACAATAAGTGTGAATTTGGTTCACAGTCCTATGGGTTCCGTACCAATGTTTAGGCGTTAGACGGCGACGCGGCGCTTACGCGCTTTGATATTTCGTCTTTATGCAGTTAAAGCAGTACGATTGCTTTGAAAAAAAGTTTAGATCTTCCAAAATATGTCAAAATAAAGAAAACATTTTTTTTTTTTTAAAAAAATAAATTAAAAAAAAAAATTTTTTTTTCCTAAATTTTTTTTTTTTCAAAAAAAAGTAATTTCTTGTCCAATTTATAGTTTCTCAAAAATCTTATTTTTGCGAAGTAAAATTTTTTCAAAAAAATAATTTTTGGTACGGGAAGTTCCAGCAATTTGTCTTAAGGCACGATGCCTTAATTGCCTTAAGACACAATTCCACTTACAGCTAGTTTTAACAGCATTCAGAACTACGTATTCTATAAGCTGTTACTCTGAGCTCTGTATATCTTAATCTTGAAATATTGTTCTCAAAGAAACAACCCAAAGGTCAACCACTCCTATTTTTGTTTTAATTATATTTAATAAATTTTTCACTCAAAATAATTGCTTCAATAATGTTGCCCATAATTTTTATAATCTCGTACTATATAATAATTGTTTTCAGTAATAATAATATATAAATTCCATTTTTCTTAATAATAATTCGATATACATTATTACTAATTTGCATGATATTTTGGAATCTCTTGAACCAAGTTAATTCTAGATGAAATACGATTAATTTTAATTTTGGTGGAAATGACACGCATGAAACTATTTGATTCAAGGGGGTAGTTCTTTTTTTATTTTTTTTTTCTCGATTTTGAGATTTTTTGATATTATGAAAGCTAAAAACTCAATATCTATTTTTTTGACGAAGTTATAGATATATATATATATATATATATATATATATATATATATATGTATGATCCTCTGAAACCGTCCTTTTCATCGCTCCGGAGCTATTGTATGCCAGCTGCTCTCTTTTTCATTATAATACCTAATGCACATGACCTTTTTAATGTGTCAGCATCTTTGAACACCATGGTGTATTTAGTACATTAAATTAAATGGTGTATTTAGTACATTATATAAAAAACTTTAAATACGTTTTTTTCATTTTCTTAAATTTCGAACGAAATAAAAAAACGACTGCCTTTTCATATCTATCAATATTGTTCCCAGGACACATTATAAAACGATGTATTAAGATTTTAATTGATATAGTTTTGTTCATGACATGATTTTCGTTAAAATATATATTTTTAGAGATATTTGCAAAAAACGATGAAAAGCGATTTGCTTTTTACATTACCTCTTAGAAGTGGCTAAGTTATTTTCTCTTTTGAACTTGAGAGTAAGATGAACCTATTCCTAAATTTCCATACAAATTGGAGCACAGTAAAAAATTCAAACCTACAACCCAAAACGCTTCATTGACTTGAGTAAATATTTCGTATCTAATGCCAAACACATCAATTTTTGACACAATGAAACTTCTAAATAATTTCTTGAATAAGTAATTTTTTTTGTATTGTGATTTAGTAAAGTCACATAAAATGTGTTAAAGAATAATAATTTGTCAAATTGAATTATATAGGGTATATTCACTGACAGTCCACAACCGCCAGACGCATGCGCAGACTGTTCTTCTGCAGAATGTATCTTATATTATTTTAATTTTTGGCACTTCACAGCTGCTTTTCGGCAATAATAATGTACACATTTCATTTTTCAAATCCTAAAAAAATCCCTTCACAAAATTAAAAAAAATTTATCAAAATGCGAATAATCGTTTATCGAATAAGGAGGATTATCCTTTTATACATCATTACAGAAGAATTTTATATATAAGATATATGTATATATAAGTTTTAGGACTCGTCTCAACTTTAGAATAAATTCGCTGGTGTGGACAACTTAAGGATTTCTCCTCTCGGCCCGATTCTCTTCTGGTGACTTCATTTGCGATAACTGGCATTTGCTATATTTTAATATCGAGTGCACAGACCCTGTATAACATTTACATTATCCGTCCTTAATTACTATACTAATAATAACAATAATTATCAAATATATACACAATGAGGAATAATAGAGATGGTACAAAAACTGACCGTTAAGCTGGATAACAAGCCGTCACATGCTGACGCACTGCACCTTATACTTATTTATCTATGCACTACACATGCTGTATAGTTTACGAGAAACATTCATAAACTGGAAATACTTTCGATTTTGCCTGCTATCCAGGCAATAATTGTTCTTTATCGCTTAAGCCAGTGATTTCCAACCTGTGGGACGCGCCCCCTTGGGGGAGGAGCGCCATACCGTTCCAAGGGGGGCGCGAAGCTGTTTCAAAAATATTATTTTTAAATGCTGAGTAAGTGTCAAAAACAAATCAGCAAAATACTTAAAGTACTTCTAAGAGTGTTTGAGCTCAAAAAAGAAATTGCTATATTTCTTGCTAATAACAAAAGAGACGGAGCAATCTTGTTTTAGGACACAAAGTTCCTCGCAAAATTTGCGTATTTAGTTATATTGATATTGATATTTGATGATATTTTTCAAAGACTTAGCGATTTAAATAAATAATGCAAGGATCTCAAATTCGTGCTTTTGTTCAAAAAGACAAGATTACGGCTTTTATGAAAAAATTAGAACTGTGTATCAAATAACTTTATAACTTTAACATGTTTCCCACTTTTAAAATTACTTGTGTTACTGATGAAACAGAAGTAAGTAAAGATCTTATTATTATATCAGTCATATGACTAGTCTACGAAACCAATTTTTGCATTACTTTATCTAATTACGTCCAAATACGAATGCATTAGAAATCCATTTGTCATTGAAAAACATGATGATTTTGGTCATTCAACAACAGAGCAGAAAATGATAATTGATTTATCTATTGATAGCACATTGAAGCATATATATTGTTGAGTTTTGGTTACCAGTAAAGGACGATTTTCCTACTTTGACAAATAATGCTTTAGAAATTTTATCACCATTTGTGAGATCTTACTATTATTTGTGAGATCTTACTTATGTGAAACAGAAAATTCTTATAATAAATAGTTATGTTTGTATGTATATTTTTTATAATACTGTGTATTATTTGGCATAATTTCAGTTATATTAAGTATATTTAAATTAAATTGTTAGAAAACCAAGAAGGGGAGGGGGGCGCAAGGAAGAAAAGGTTGGAAACCGCTGGCTTAAGCAGTTTCGAGTCCTATATGTCAGCTGTCAGCTGTCAAAATTTGAAAACGCGGTTAAGTATGAAATGCCGAAACGTAACAATCGGAAATATTATTTCTAATCAAATGTTTATTTATTTCAAATCAATGTTCTATTGTTGCATATGACTAATGAACTATAGTATTATTTGCGTATATAATTCTATTTCCTAATTAAATATTCTAGATGGTAAGGTTATTTATTTCAATTTGCAATAACCACATAAACGTATTTTTATGTAAGTATAAAATTAAATATTTTATGTGTTTTAAAGCGTCGAAGTTCGGCACCAAGCCAAATTGCAAAGCGTCAAATAGGCTCCTATGAAGACATAAATGAGAGGGAACTAAAGCAAAAATGTGCCTCAAAAACTAATTGCAGAATCAAGGAAAATGAGTGTGTTAGTTTTATAAAATCATCATCGACATACAGTGCAGAACATGTAAGGATAGATTATATAAATATCAAGTAAATTACATTATTTAAAGTTTTTAAATATTCTATTGTTGCTCACCTATACAAGTCGTATTCTTGTTATCATCACTGCAATTTCACCATCTGTATTGATTCATGTTAAATACTTTGGTTTATATATCCCGGCAGAAAAACTCTTTTTGTCACATATAAGACACTAAAAATAATAAACATTTTAAAAGTTAGCTTGTTATCATTTATTTTATTTGGTTAAATTTATTTTTAATTTGAATTATAATGAGAATATTGCTGAATGTTTTTGTTTAATATCAACAGATTTGAAATTTATTTGTGTAGAAAAATATAATTCTCAATTTATTTGAAAATATTTACTTTAATGGAAATTTATTCTTCATTATTTTTTTACAGGAAACCATTATTCGGAGTATATTATCAAGACCTTTTAAGATACCTATACCTAATTATGAAGGCTCCATAACCAATAGATCTTTAGGATTAAAAAAATCTACTTTTAGAAGGCCTTTGCACGATCCGTACGCTCCAAATGCATTAGTGTTATTTGCCCCACCAGAAGTAACTCACCATGACAAACTAAAATCCAATAAGTAATATAATTACATTTTATAAAAGTGTAAAGAAAGCAAATGTTAATATTTTGCGAAGAAAAAAATATAAAAAGTATATTTGCATGTATAATATATATATATATATATATATATATATATATATATATATATATATATATATATATAATATAATCGCATATGATTAGCAATTGATAACCTGTTTTTTGGCATTTTAAATACTTAAATTACAAACCCATTGCTGCTAAGATATTACTCAGGAATAGAATGAACATACAAAAGTAAAAATAAATAAAACTTTTTTTTATTTAAAGAACAAACAAAAAAATACTTTTTATATACATTTTATCAATATTATAAGTTTCGATTTAATATTTCTTTTATTGTTTGGTTTAGAAACTTTCATGCTCCTTTACAGAGCATTTAAATAAAAATTTTTCATTATTTATGTCCTATTGCTAAAATTTGATTTCAGTGAAAATACACTTGTCCATGTTGTTGTTGATCCTGTACTTGGAAATATATTGAGACCTCATCAACGTGAAGGTGTAACATTTATGTACAATTGTGTCACGGGTGTTCAGATAGAAGGAATGTATGGTTGCATTATGGCTGATGAAATGGGGTACGTATTATCACATTCATTATTTTGATATGAATTATGTGTTTGCTTATTGTAGTTTATGATTGTTATTAAAAAGCTTTGATTTGATTTAGGTATTAGAATGGTGCTATTGAAGATATTTTAAAATTTATTTAAATTGAAGTTTTAGATAACGGTTCATTTAGTTAATCGCTTTACTAAATATGCTACTGTTACTTCTACATTACTCTCCGAACCATTCTTATTAAACGCTGACCCTTTCTTTCTTCTCAATTCAAATCAATGCATGCACTATAGATATTGTATTCCTTCCACAGTACTCTTGTTAATCGTGTTTATATTCCAATCAAGAATTCTTTTTAATTTTTCTTTGTTTTTTCTTATTAATGTATAATTTATACATCTCTTATTAGTTATTAATTTTAATATTATTTATTATGTAAAACTATCGTTCCGAATTAAAGTTAAAATTACGATTATTATTATTAATCAAATAATTTTTATGCATCTTCCAATTAGAATTATTTAATAAATAAATAAATTAATTGCTTACCTATTTAATTTTCTGAATACTGCAGTTTGGGCAAAACATTGCAATGTATAACACTATTATGGACTTTACTACGTCAAGGGCCCGATTGTAAGCCTACAATTCATAAAGCTATTATTGTTTGTCCAAGCAGTTTAGTAAAGGTAAAAATAAATAAATATTCTTGTTTTTATAATAAAATTATAATAATATGTCATTTACAGAATTGGTATAATGAGATAAATAAATGGTTGGGTGTTCGAATTCAAAGTTTAGTAATGGACGGTGGCGCTAAGGAACAGGCACAAAATCAACTGAAGCAATTTATGGCTTCTAAAGGACCACGTATGGCGGTGGTTCCAATTTTAATTATATCCTATGAAACATTTAGAATTAATAGTGAAATATTGAATAATTCTGAAGTTGGTCTTGTGCTGTGTGATGAGGTAATTCCACTTAAATCATTTACCATTTCAAAATTAAACTGAATAATTTTGTGTAGATAATGATAATAGTTGTAAATTTAAATAATTAAGTAATATTAAACCCATTTTTGTTATGTTTTATTACATTTATAGGGTCATCGACTTAAAAATAGTGAAAATCAAACATACACTGCTTTAATGGGCCTACAATGTAAAAGACGTGTTTTGTTATCTGGTACACCAATTCAAAATGATCTTTTAGAATATTTTAGTCTTGTTCACTTTGTTAATGCTGGATATTTAGGATCAGCACAGGTAAATATTAATATGATGTATTTTAATATTCCATTTCTAACGACATAATATAACTTAAGTTATACTTTTTATAGGATTTTAAAAAGAAGTTTGAAAATCCTATACTTCGAGGCCAAGACTCATTGTCCACACCATCTGAAAGATTGAAGGCAGCAGAATGTCTGACTATGTTAACACAAATGGTTAACCAATGTTTAATTCGTAGAACAAGTCAACTTTTAACAAAATATTTGCCGGTGAAATTTGAACATGTCATATGTGTAAATATGACTCCTTTGCAGACTGCTCTTTATAAAAGTTTCTTAAGTTCGGAGAAAGTGAAACAAACCATGACTTGTGAGTATCAATGGGACTAGAAATTGTATTTATATTATTTCAGCAACATTTCAATATTGAACGGAATCAATGTAATTTTAGATGACAAAGAAGTCAAACCTACTATAACAGCTTTAGCAAATATAACATTTTTGAAAAAACTTTGTAACCACCCAGATTTAATTTATGATAAAATTGTTGAAAGAGCAGATGGGTTTGAAAATGCATATAAATTACTTCCAGCAAACTATAATAGACAGTAAGTGATTTTTATATGTTCAAAATAAAATTTACAAGCTATATTAGCTATGAATATTTTAGTGAAATTATGCCAGAACTGTCTGGAAAGTTGATGCTTTTAGATTGTATGTTAGCTAATATCAAAACAAACACAGATGACAAAATCGTCCTCATATCAAACTATACTCAGACACTTGATCTCTTTGAAAAATTATGTAAGAAGAGGTAAACAACAAAGTCTATATGTATCTGATTCATAATCAAGATGTTATTATATATGTATATATAAATATCTACAGGGGTCATGATTATGTGCGTTTGGATGGTACAATGTCTATAAAGAAAAGGGGGAAAATAGTGGAAAAATTTAATTTAAAAGAATCTAAGGAATTTATTTTTATGTTGAGTTCAAAAGCTGGTGGATGTGGTCTTAACCTAATTGGTGCAAATAGGTATCAATGTAGTCTCATTATCAGACCCCACACATTTATTAATCCTATTATGCATTTTCTAGATTAGTTATGTTCGATCCTGATTGGAATCCTGCTAATGATGAACAAGCTATGGCTCGAGTTTGGAGAGATGGTCAGAAAAAACCTTGCTTTCTTTATAGGATGTTAGCAGTAAGTGGAAATTTTGAAACTATCATATTGAAATATAATAAGCAATACATTATTATAATTTAAAATTTTTTTGAAGACTGGAACTATAGAAGAAAAAATTTTTCAACGACAAGCACATAAGAAAGCTTTATCAAATAGTGTTGTTGACAATGAAGAATGCTTAAGACATTTTTCAAGGGAAGATTTAAGAGATCTTTTTAAATTAGAGGAACAAACATTATCAGATACACATAATAAGTAATAAATTAGTATTTCTAATTGCTTTAAATTATTGTATTCATACATAATTGAATAATTTCAGATTTAAATGTAATCGATGTATAAATAATATACAAGTGAAGCTTCCCCCGGAAGACTCAGATTGCATGTCAGATTTATCTCAATGGTATCATTGTGCTGATAAGAAGGGGCTGGCGGATATGGTAAATATTTCTAATTCAGTTTTTTTCAAATAACTTCTAATGTAATGCATTGTCAATATTGTTCTTATATAGCTATTAAATATGCTGGATAACTGTATATGTTTCACTTCATCATAAATAACCCTTTCATTATTATATTTACTGGGCTTTTAATTTCACCTTCATAACTTTCATTCAAATATTTAAATTGTTATTACAGGTTCTAAAACAATGTTGGGATATGGCAAAATATATTTCATTTGTATTTCATCATCGTTCAAATCAAGTTGAAGCAAAACAAATAATTAAAGTAGAAACAAATGATGATATTAATGAAGATTCAGTTACAGAAGAAGAAAATATGAGTGAATAAATATGTAAATGTTGTAAAATGTATATAAAACAGTTCAATTACAAATTTTTATTTTAGTATTTAATTATATATCTTCAATCCCAGTGAATAAATGGTCAAGTAGAATTCTGATCAAAATGAGTTAACTGCCCTAATACGGATAGATGATGGTAGTTTTTATCAATCTTTGTTTTCATTGAGCATATATAGATATATCGAATACTCTATATATGCATAATTAAGTTAAACGAGGAGCAACTGTCAATACAGTTGACAATTAAGTATTCATGCTCAATGAATTGTAATCAATTCTCCTTACCCATTTAGACACCAGTATTTATATGGGTGATTACCTCTCTAATTCAAGTTACTCAGTTATGTATATTGAATGGTATCAAGTTAAATATTTGTTGAGCTGCTCGTACAGCATGCATTTAAACTAGCAGAAATCATACCATTTTCTGGTTTTTATTGTTTTACTCTAAATTTTTCAATAATAACATTTTCTTATATAAACATCATTAATAATTTATAATTTTTTTCATTTATGTTATTCTCTTCAATAAATTAATCTGTTCTCACATTTGTTGATTTTAGTATATTAGCATTTTACAATCCTGATTAATTGCGCCTAAGTTTTGATGAAACTTGTCAGCACACTTTAGTACATATTTTTTAAAAGAGCAACTCTCAAAATCGACCAATTTGAAAAAATTTAAATTCATAGTTCAACAAAAAGTCTTCATTCTTGAAAATTTAGGGCAATTGTGTTAATGTTTTTGATAAGGTCTAGAATTATATATTCACGATTTGGGTTTTTTGGTATTTTTGCAATCTTCACATAGTAGAAGATATCATGCCCTTTGTTGATACTGTTTTTATCAATAGCGATGAAACAGAATTCGACAAAACGACTCTGAATAAAGTTCCGTTTTTAAAATTTGTTTATATAGTTTGCAATTACGGTTTGGTTTTGGTGAAGATTTTTTGAATTAGCGTCATGATGTTTCAGTCTTTTTAACATCACATTTTATCGATTTCACCAACAAAAGTAGAACTGCAATATATATTTTGCGGATAGAATATACCTAGAGTTTTAATTTTAAATTGATTTTGTTCGTGTGCATTTACTTTCATAAATACAAAGTCAAATTTTATTTTAATTACAACAGGCTTTAACAAAACATCAATTTTATGGTAATACACGTGTGTTGTGTTTAATGTTAAATAGTGCTGTGTTCATTGTTCGTGTTTAATAGACGATGTCAGCAATCCATTCGTTGAACAAAAAAGTACTTTTTTATTCGACGAATGAGCTGCTAGTTACTTTGAAATATGTTTCAACGTCGAAAAAACTATCAAGATATATATATATATATATATATATATATATATGTATGTATATAGAATTTTGTGATATGAGTGGAACGAATATTAAATGTTAAATAGGAACAATACAACACTCAGATTTTTAACACACACTGTATTTGTTAATTACAGACGTTTCGAGACCATGGTATGCCTCATCTTCAGTGTAATTTCAAAACAGTTACTTATATACTACACATTCTTTAATATTTTATTTAAATTACATTTAATTTTTGAAAATACAAAACACATACAGAAATATTTTTTATTATCTATTTTTTCGCATTGTAATAAAAGACTCAGGCAGCATAAATTACAATGCGAAAAAATAGATAATAAAAAATTTAAAAGTACACTGGTGGATCATGCTAATATCAACAACCATAAGTTTGATTTTGATAATCCCCAAATCGTATTCCATGAAAAAGACTTATTTAAACGGAGCATGGCCGAATCAATGTTAATAGTTCGGACTAACAATAGCGTAAATCTGAGAACCGACAAATATTTTACACGACTCTTATATAAACATCATTACTAATTTATCTTTTTTTTCATTTATCTTATTCTCTTCAATAAATTAATCTGTTTTCACATTTGTTGATTTTAGTATACGAGCGCGCACTCCATTTGTTTACATTATAACAATACTCATCCTGTCTCTTCATCTCGATACTTAAGATTTGTTTAAAATATTTCTGTATGTTTCACATGTTTTAGTGCTGTGTCAAGCTCTGCAAGTGATAGTTGGTGTTTTTTGCATTTTCAAAAATTAAATGTAATTTAAATAGAATATTAAAGAATGTGTAGTGTCCCACCACATTTTTGTCAAAAGTCTTGTAAAACAGTTGAGTGGTGATTTTTGAAAATTTCAAACATTTCCATCTATATTGTTCTCAGACAATATACTGACTGATCAGTTTATTGTCTATTGTCTGTTCTGACAGAAAAGCACCAGGAAGAGGGCGGTGAACAGTTTATTGTGAAACATGTCAAAATCAACCCGCCATGCAGGTTTTAAATATTGTTTTAAATGTTACCATTCTTATGAGATGATCAAAAATAAATTGATATTATTAAACTATGTCCTTCAATGACCACAAATTTTTATCAAACAAATTGCATAACATACACAATGAAATCAAGTTTAGAGTAGATTGTTTTGAAATCGGTCCCGTAAGGGTTAATTTAGAAATATGAACAAACATCACTCTTTTTTGCACTAATTTATTGAATAATATTAATTTTACAAACGTTTCGTGTCTAGGTTTGTCTCATCATCAGTGTACTATAATTTAAAATCTAAAATATGAATGTAGCATTATATATATATATATATATATATATATATATATATATATATATATATATGAGGCAATAAATAAAAAAACAGATTTATAAATAAATTTTAATTCCAAATGTTTTGACATAAAATTTAATGTCATCATCAGTGTCATAAAAGTTACCACTACACGTCATAAAAGTTACCACTAACATTGATACTCTAACCCGTCAATAATCAAAAAAAAAATTTTTTATGAATAGAAACAAAAATGTAGAAAAAGTGAAGGTATTTTTGCAAACAAACTTATAGCTATAGTGTCCGAGGCCTATATATATATATATATATATATATATATATATATATATATATATATATATTCTGAGTGGATAATAGATATTAATTTGGAAATTTATATATATATATATATATATATATATATATATATATATATATATATATATATAATGTATGTAATATAATGTAAATTGAATACTATTAAAATTACTGAACTACATAATTTCTACTTATATTTTGAATCCATTTCAAGTATTATTTACAATTATCAAGCTCCATAAAACACATTTATACATAATATTGTCATAAAAATATGATAAAATGATTGGTAAAATATTTTAAAATAAAAATTAAAATTAAAATTTCTTAAAATTAATTTCTTATATTCATAACTATGTTTGAATTTTACTATGTCAAACTATGGGTTTCTAATACCAAGAGCTTGTTCCAGCTCAGCTCGTTTCTGTTGAACCTTAGTATAGAAGTACCGACTGACTGCCTCTGTGGTCCATGATTGATAGTAAAATTCAGCTCTTCGTTCCTCCTCAGGGTTTCCAACAATGTCTGTCATTGTCTTAAGATTGAAACAAATATTTGTATAAACATTCAGAGGGTTATATAAATTTTTATACGAAATAACATTACATTTTGAAAACATTAGCTCAATTGCATAGTTACAATATATTACCTTGAGATCTCTGGTTTGACTCACTATCCATTTGTTAATAAACTGCTGTGGATCTTGAGAAAAACTTAAAAAGAACTCTCTGTTAGTTTTTAATTGATTAATAGTATCTACTGTTTCATGTATTTTTCCATCTAAACCTTGAATTTCCTGCTGGCTAGCAGTACTGCAATGTAAATAATACAAGAATAAAAAAGATGCTTGAATAAATAAAATACACAATCAATTATAATTATGTAATATTAAATATTTTGTATGGTCATTTATTAGCACCATCATCATTTCATCAAATATACAATAAGATAGCGCAAAAAATTGGTGGCATCTGTATGAAGATGTATAAAATGCATTGATGCTTTTTCAAATGCAAGAAATTAGATTTAACTTTAAATTAATTATCTTTAAAAATTCCTCACAACATAATAATAAACATTAAAGTACCTTAAAAGAAAATTATTCATTTGAGTTTTTAAAGTATCATCAACTTCAACATCAATATCATAACAAGCAGTTTGCTTGCTCTCAGCACCTCCTTCAACTGATATAACATGATTTATAACAATCGGATCTGGCGGATGCAAGAGTGGATTTAAACGCTGTGGAATTTCAGCAAACTTCATTTTTTGACATGCAAATATTTGCTCTAAATATTTATCACAAACAATATACCTAAATAAATATAAAAACATTAGTAATGGTGTTCTCTACACTTTCATGAAAATATTTACCTATATATATATATATATATATATATATATATATATATATATATATATATATATATATATATATATATAGATATATATATATATACTTTTAGAAAAAAGAAATGTTCACTTTAATCACCTTAATTATTTTTTTAAAAGTTCTTAATATAATAAATTTATTAACTATAATTAAATACTCACTCCCTTTCATGAGAATCTTGCAATTTGTGCGTTTTTATATACTGCCATAATGCTGATATAATAACAGGACGCGTTTGAGTATGAACCCCTAATAATCGTGCTAAACGAGGATCCAATTTAAATTGGAGAGGTTGATAGTCCAGTAACAATAGAATCGTACAACGTACATTGCGATCACCAGGACGTTTAACCTACAAGAGAATATATAAGCAAATAATTTTAAATACATATATGTTATCAATAAAAAAATTACAATTTTAAGCACACACACACAAACACACACACACACATATATATATATATAAATATATATATATACATATGTGTGTATATATAATATACACAAATAAAAGAAAAAATAGAATTATAATATAATAAAATATAATAAAACTATATACCCACTTGAAATCCATCAGTTTCTTGAGTTTGTAAAGTTCTATGCCATTCAACGAGATGATTATCAGGCCCATACAACTCTTTG